CCCCCCCCCCCCTTACACTAAGAACAACATGGTGCACCATTTACTTAGCTGCTAGCATTTCAGCAGCATCACCTTTGACCACTGCCTTTCCATAGTGTGAGAACATTTTCCTCGCTGCAGCCCTTGTTCAGTCAAGCAATACAATATTATTCTCTTCTGGCTACAGATCACTCCTAGAAGTATCTTGAGCAAGAGCACAGGCAAAAGCATATGTTGGCTGCAACAGGAGACACAATTCTCCTCTGCAACCCCAAAAAGATAAACACACCTACAGTGTCCTAATCAGACCTCACCTCCAAATTACAATAAAACCCCTAGTAATGCAGTCTATTTTCTTCTTTCCTCTTACAATGCAAATGATTTTTTTTTTAATTAAAAAAAAAAAGATTGTGATTAACACCCAAACATCATACCTAGAATGGTACTGTACCACCTGCCCAGAAATAGGCAAATTTCAGTCATCGAGCTTAAACAGCAACACCTGTACCACTACCAGCTATTTAAAACAGCCTTAGTAGGAAGTCAGGGGCAAAAAATAAGATGTTGAACCAAGTGACCAAAGTAATGCATTATCTAGGGTGCTTACTAACTTGTTTTGTTTCTCTTACATAGACTTCACCTCTCATTCATCTGAAAATTTAAAGCAGTTTTACTAACCACGGGATACTTGCTTACTAGCAAACTTCAGAAAACCTGTTAAACAAGGCCTAGTAACATTTCTACAAGGATTTTAAAGGCTATACATTTAAATTCCACCTCCAAGCTTGATAGCCACACAAAAGTAAGCTGAATGTCCCTGGGCCTGTAAGTGCAAAAGAGTATTTGACCAGTATTCTGCAAGGTAAGGAAGAGAGACAGAGGTAATGCAGTAGTGGCAGCAGCTCACGTAATGCACTTGATTTCTCCCAACAATCTGCAATCTCCAAGTCTGATGATCACTGCCTTTAAACGAAACTAGCTGACACTACTATATGTATCAGCACTCTGGAGCAAAACTACACCATCTAACAGAAGGTTCAGTATTCATTTGCAGCTGTCCACATTGATACGTACTCAGTAGAGCCAGGCCTCTAGGAAGGAAGGAAAGACATTTTGTGTTGTGATATTTTATACTGTGACATTTTCTCTTCTAAATGTTGTTTACTGTTTCTAGCCTTGCTAGAGGAAGTGTTTAATCTTCAGCTATCAGGCAGCTCAAGGACAGTGTTTCAAAAGCAGGTACTACCACTAGAGTATAAAAAAACAAAACAGAAAACCACCACAAAACAACCACACACACTATTTAATAAGCCAAGATATTTTCATTAAAAAAAAAATCTTAAATGCCTTTTTTTAGGGTCAAAAATAAAACTTGAGGTGAAAGTTCAGTCCTGGACAACAACATCGTGATTACAGCTTGCACCAACCCAGAACACACTGTCTACAAACCTGCAAAAGCTCGGGCCTCATCAGTGGGCACAGCTCTCAGATGGCGGAGGTCACTCTTGTTGCCCACCAGCATGATGACAATATTGTTGTCTGCATGATCTCTAAGCTCCTTTAGCCAGCGCTCCACATTCTCATAGGTGAGATGTTTGGCAATGTCATAGACAAGAAGAGCCCCAACAGCACCGCGGTAATATCTGAAACCATAAGGCACATTCCTTCAGAGAGCGCTCCATCTGGGTTATGCCAACAAACCTGGTATCTGGCTCTTCTATACTGGTTACTACTAAAAAGTTAAAAACATTCCCCCCCGCTCTGGAAAGAGTTGTGCTGATGCAAATACTGTTGTTGGGGTTTTTTTAAGCCTAAAATCAAGTTCCAAATGTTGGGGTTTTTTAAGGGCATTCCTAAAAAATTCCAATGTGTGTAACAAAATGCCGAAGAGACTGCGGAAGCCGTGACATTTTTAGTCTGCTGAAACAGTGCGCAAGAAAACTCGCAATGCATTTCAGAATCAGTACTCCTAGAAGGTTTTTGTTTAGTTATAACTTATCTTTCCACCAGGAAAACAGTCTTTAGTAAGATGTCAGCATTTGTTGCTGATCTTTCAAATACCTCCTGTCCCTCTTAAAAATTAAAGAGGGAGACTCTGGGCTATATTGGCACTTATCCACAAGCCCATAATCCGAGAATACAGTTTGTTTCCTCAGTGCAGGTTTGGGCCCATTGCAACTCAAGCCAAGGGCTTAGGACAGCACAAGCCAATCAGCCAATATCAGCAATCCTATAATGTCCATATCTCTCTTCCACACAACCCTACCATTTCTTCTCTGCTCCACCAACACCTGTCCGACACATCACTGAACCGATTCAGGGCACCAAGTCAGCTGAAAACATTCACTCCTTACTTCTGGTTGGTGTTCTGCTGGCTTAGCAAGCTGAACTGGCTTAGCGGTATGTCAAGCAAGAGCTCGTGCCAGCCCAAAGGAGAGGCAGGATCACAGGACCACAAATGCACTGATTCTCATCAGCCAAGTCTGTTGTTGAATCAGACTCAGCCAGCAGTTTTTCTGCTAAACTGTTACAGCAGTAAGAACAATTTAAGGGTCACAAAAAAAAATCTGAAAAACACACTAACAATTATAGAAAAGAAACTTACATCTGCTTCTGCATTACTTTGGTTTTGCATTCCTTCCCTATAGATTATTCCCTTCAGGATCCACACTCTTCTGTTTTTCTCCCATCTATTCTACATTACCCTATTTCACTGCAATGAAAAAAGTTCCCCTTACCTTGCATTTAATACAAATGGCTCAATCTGTGCATGATTCAGAGACAAGTTTGTACCTTTAAAAACTGATATACATCTGTAACACTAAAAAATTTTAACTCGCTGATCAAAATATGCCCTGGATAACTAGGCCTGTCAATAGGGTTTTCTTTTTTTCCTCTAAAAGATACTTTTGCCTATTACCAGCATAGAAACACATACACCCAGAGGTTACATCTTAAGACACTGTCTGTATTAACAAGGTGCCGTACATGAAAGCTTCTCAACACCACTGTTCTAAATAGAGATGTGCCTAATGCTGCAGTCAGCATTATCACAGTTGCCTTCCTACTTACTGGTTATTCAGCACATACTCTTGGACCTAATTTTCAGGGCTGTGACTAATTCAAAGTCATTAAGACTTCAAGGTAAGCTACCATGTCTAGACCAAAACTCGATGCCAAACAGTACCCAGCTTGCATCAGAAATGGCACTCATTGCATATGATAAAGATAGCACATCCAGGGCAGGTAAAAAACCCAAACCACAAGACTCAAACAGAATTTCCCACACTTTTGATTTAACCTGTTGTATTTTCTGTAATAGTATCATTAGAATCTAAAAATTACTTTCATTATATTAATCAAGAAACACAAAAGTATTTGCTACCTTATGACTTGGATCTACACTGAAGTCTGTCATAATGATTTTGCATGCGTCCCAAACATGTTTCATTAATTCTCTACCCATAAATTTATCTGTACCATCTCTGCCAGAATTCTGCTGTTAGCCTGAGTAAAGACATAGTACTCACGCTGAGGTAATGGCACGGTATCGTTCCTGTCCTGCAGTATCCCAGATCTGTGCTTTTATCGTCTTCCCATCCACCTGGATACTCCTGGTGGCAAATTCCACCCCAATGGTGCTCTTACTCTCCAGATTGAACTCATTGCGTGTGAAACGTGACAGAAGATTACTCTTCCCAACTCCAGAATCTCCAATCAACACAACTGAAAGAAAAGACATTTTCGAAATTAATTCTTCATCCCAGCGTTTACATAGCGCAGTGGTGCTATCTGGCTGCTATGTTGCCTTGCAGGCAGGACCCAGAGGAGTTGCGCAGCCAGATAAACATAACACAGGAGAAAGTTATGCTGACAACACCTCAGACTTTACTACTCACAGCTTGCTTCCCCAGCCCCAAAACAGCCCCAAGCCTTTTTGTTGATAGCAGCTGCTCAGTTCCTCAGAGATGGAAATGAGAAATTGCTACAGTGACTGTCAACAGCTCAACAGCTTTGGAGGCCCCAAGCCACCACCAGTAATTAGAGGTAACTAGATGTGCCTTGCATTCTCGACCTTTTGCAGAGGAACACTGCAACCCACATTTTAAGAAACACTACAGTCAAGAACATAGCAACAGACTACCTGTCTGCCTGACAAAAGCCTGTGTACAGTATAAGCCTGCTCTATTTTTATTTTAAAAAAATCCAAAAACCAAAGACCAACAGAGTAAGTAAACAATTATTTGCAGTCCCTGTTGGGGTCATACAGGCTGTTTTATTTCAATAATTAAATCCATAAATATGTTCACCATAAAATGGGGAAAAATAGGAGATGTTTGACACTACAAACAAGATACAAAGCAAAGCAGAACTTCATCCAGCAAAATGAGTTCTAGTGGATTGCACAAGAAGTAAAAGATGCGCTAAAAAGCTCTGCCTCCACACGAGGTGTTGCCATGTTAACACAAAAATGTTAATGCAGAGAGATCTTCAGCACAAAACCCCCAGCTTTACTGAAAGGAATTGTGAAAATAAAAGGTACATCTTGTAGTAGGAGTTTCCCCCTACTTTGGGGCTGAAGCTCTCCGCTGATCCCGAGGCACACCTCTCTGCCCTTCCTGCTGGAGCAGGCTGCTGCTTCACACCCAGCCACACTTGGACCAGGCTCTCCGTGAGACCTTCTCATCAACAACTCCAAAGACAAGATTTGTCATACTAGGTTATTTACTATGCAGCCAACACAACTACACACATTTTCTTAAATCCCTGTAATATTGACTAGAGCAAGAAATACCTGAAGGGAAACAAGACTAAAAGCAATTAAGCCATCCTCCCTTAGTCTCAGCAAATACTGTGTCATATATGAGTGTGGTATTCAAGCTAACAGACTTGAGCAGAAGGAAGAAAGGCAGTCTCAGTGAGGTTTCTTCAGCCTTGGGAAGATTCCCTACTTTGGTTCAAAGTACAGATTTGGTGATCATCCTCATTCATACGATGTGTTTTTCCTGTAGAAAAGCAGACATGGGCAGAAAACATTCCTGATCCCTCCACAAGAAGTTACAGAAGACTTCTCATTACACGCTTTCAGAATGAGCTCACCAGCGTTCTCCCAGGGCCAAGGATCGTACTTGTCTTTTAGTGTTCTGCTCAGGCCATTGTTTCAGGATACAGCTCTGGCAGCACACTGCTCCAGTTCACGTACGTCCCCACCCCTGCGAGCACATTCCCAAACTTCTGCTATAGCCCTCTGTTACTCTGCTGCGACAGCTCCGGAGCTGCACGGGGAGATTGCTGAAATGCTCCTGACGCCCGCCCAGCATTTCATCCAGCTGACAGCACAGATAGACGGACAATTGTGCTAGCACAGCTGAACAGTCAAAATACAACAGAGGCAGGAACAGGCAGCCAGTGGATCGTGGCAAGGCGCCACAACTCCCCACCCGGGATAGCTTAAATCAGCTCCTCACAGTGCTCTGCCTTCACTGGCAAACAGCCTCAGCCATTTTTTAGGGTATGAGAACAGATACATAAAAAAGATTTTATTATGAGTTCTAACTCCAGGATTTTGTTAGCTTTATTTTCCAGACGTTCCAAGAATGTGCTGAAGGTCACCCATCTTGCACAGTGATCTGCTGGCTCGGAGTAGGCTGTACCCTAAAGCAAAGCCCTGACCATAACCAGAAGGAGGTAAGAACATCCACCACACAAGCTAGACCAGCTTGGAAAAACCCTGAAGCTTCAAACTGTTTCCAAAGGGAGTTACCTTCTCGTGAATCTGCAGCTCGAGAAAGCACAGCTGTCTTCCCAGGTTCTAGCCACCTCCTATCCTCTGGCATTTTCAAATTATCAGCTTTGTGCATAAACTGTGCAAATGGTGCTCAGGTCATTAATTCCATCTGTCGCAGGAAGAAGAATCAGGGGGTCCTGGGCTACTTTAGCTGGTTACTCGCCTCTGCTGCAATCTGGCAGCAAAACACGAGGCTCCCCTTTACTGGGCTGCTCCACCTTCCAGCAGAGCTTACAAGAGAGCATTTTTGAAAAGTAACAAAGGCAGGCAACCAGATCCCAACTCGGTAAATAACGTTCTCTCTACCTTACAGTCTCCAAGTGCTTCTTGTTAATACTCAATCTTGAGCATTAAACAAGCATTTTCACTTTCAGGAGAAAGATACAGACTGAAGGCCCACATGCAGACAGAACCCACAAGCTTTTATTTTCTATGGGAATTGAGCAAGAAGATACCTTCAAAATTCTGGAGTAAGTGATTAGATCTTGGGAAAGTTCCTAAATTTGGGAACAGGCCACCAGACAGCACTGCCTGTTCAAATGCAGAAGTTTCAACAGAGTAGAAAAGAAAGTTCCAAATCAGATCTAAGAGCCTGAATACTCCCTAAACACATCTCAGCAGAATTGATGAAGCCACGCTCCCTGAACGGCCTTTAGGGCCACACTGGTAACAGAGAGATGCACTGGTTTTAACCTGGAAGTGACCCGAACCAATAACCAGCACCAGTCATCATCAGACGGCTGCAAGCATGCGAGCAAGCCACGCTTACTGCCCTATTTACATCCTGAATCACGGTGCTGCTCCTTCAGTCTTTCCTGATTTTCTCTCTCCTCCACCGCACGGTGCCGGCCTGCGGGCTACCATTCACCACACCACCCGTCCGTCAACAGCGAAGCATTCAGATCTGCCACCGTCATCACCCCGCTTCCCATGTCTTGTTAGGCCTCACAGCACAGACCTCCAGCCGCCCGAGCAGAGCACAATGCCCCACCCGGACACTGCTTCGTAGCTCGGGATCCTGGTACAAAGCAAGCAAAAGACAGAATTAAACATCCAGGGCAATACATTGTTGGTAAGGAAAAAAAATGAAAGATCAAGTTCATGATAGAATTTTAAATACATTAGTTTATTAATCTGGCAAAAAGAATATATTCTTTTGAACAGTCAGGAAGATTAAGACTCTTTCTAGCAGAGGCTACGTAAGCAGAGTTCATTATAAATATTAAGTACATAAGGTTGCCAGATATTGATGACTAATATGACACGCATTTGTTTTTAATAAGCACAGCCTTTGTTAGGCTTAAGCTCTAATCAGAGCAGTCTAAATTCCCACAAAGGTAAGTGAAAGCTGTTTTTTCTATGGGTGTTTTTTCCTTCCTTTTTCATGAGCCAGCATATATCTGCACAACCTCAAATTTAATTTTTAAAATAAACACTCATAATAGCTAATCTTCTTCAGAGGAAAATTAACGTGCAGGTCACATGTTAATAGGTACAAGGCTTCCAATACTTTAACAACTATTAAAAGGTCATGAATTCAATTCCAGATCCAACCCATTCAAAACTCATCATGAAAAGTTCCTGCTTTTTCACCATCCCAGCTACAAAACTAATCAGGAACAGAGCCCGGAACCGCTGGCTTTGCTTGGGTTACATCACCGAAACGCATCTACAAGAAGATCCTCGCAGCCTCGTTATTCTGCGCAGCTCTGCATACAGAATTCAGCTTGTCCTCCCAAAGGTTGGCTCAGTCATTTCGTTAACAAACAACATTTTGTTGTGATCAATAAAATAAGTACTTCTGACTGCCGGGATGCACACAAAAGAAAGGGAAATTGGGAATAAAGAGGCACTACTTTCACGAAGCAGCTTTGACTATAACCACACTCGCATCCCCAGAGTTCCACCAAACCTTGAATTAGTTTTTGCCTACTGTGGGCTAGGCCCAATAAGCCAATAACATTCGTCTCTCCTGCAGCCCTACTGAAATGGCCGGTCCTAAAGCACAAGCTGATGGACGATGTGAGTGGTCATTCTTGTGTCTGAGGGAACACTAAGAACAGCGAGCCAGCTATGCACAGAAACTGCTGCTACAAATTCCTTGGCCATTTTCACCCCTGAACAACTGTTTCATGGCCAGTATTTCACATGAAAGAGACTAAATAAATGGGGCTCTTTGCCTTTTAAACTTTTCATAAAGCTGATTAATATAATCTATGCTAAATGACAGAAGTTCCTGTACAAGCAGTTCCAGATCTTCCACTATAAAAAAAAAAAGTAAAAATTGTGCCTTTAAAGCAACACTGCATTCAACTGGAGTCATCCTAAATAACATTACAGTGCAAGGATGCAAATTTAAGCTTAAATAAGTGCAACAGTGAAAGCTAAAATCAGAGTCCAACCAAGTTTCCTTTGGAAATAGGTGGTAGGGGAAGTGGTCAAACATTACATTTAATAAAAATAATCTTTCCCAGGCTGCAACCCTTCTCTACCATTATTTCTACCTCTGACTACTGCATGTGCCTGATAGAAGAGAGTTCAAAAATTGTCTGTGTAGCTAAGAAGGGTCTGAACCAGAAGTCAATCAAACCCCTGGACATTATTTTTTTCATTCTATCAATTCCCCTTGATATTTAATTCCATTATTGGAGGGGGCGGAAGGGAAAGGAAGGGGAGTTGGTCCGACAGGGGAGACCTCTTCCCACTTTGTCCCATTTACATTCATTATTTCTTGCCTAGTCCCAAAAAGCCTAGAAGGAAGGAAGGAAAAGATGAGTAGATAGGGAAGGGGGTTTTTGTGAGTTTGTTTATTTAAAAAAAAAAAAAATCCACACAACTACCCCTACCCAAAGAACTCACAGAAAAGGTCAATTCTCTTCCCCATTTTTCATTAAGTGCTATAAAGTATGCCAAGTTACTTTGCAGTACCAACACAACAGTATGGTTCCTGACAC